TTGTATATCTTGAATGTCTATTCTACTAACCGATTGTATGATAATCTATTGTGATTTAATTTTTATTATTTTATATCTCTTTATGTTGTCCATTATGTTTGTCTAAACTATATGTATGTTTGTTTCTTCGCTATTTTGTTTTGCTTACATGCTCTTCAAATATTTCTTTTGCTTTTACTTGTATATAATTTATCTGTTAATTGTATTATGTTTTTATGTTTTTATATTTTATTATATTTATCATATGCTTACGTATGAGTAACTTATATTTTGTCTTTTATCTCCTTTATGTTTTTCTTTTATTATTATATTGTTGAGTTGATATGATTTATCATATATTTTAGTGATTGACAAATTTGTTTAATCATGTATTTATATCTCATATCATATTTTGTATGCTATTTATTTGTTATATTTTACCAATTCTATGTTATTGATTATATTTTAACACTGTGATGTGTTGTCTTATGATACTACATCAACAATATCATGTTGATATTATATTTTTCTATAATTGTATATTTGTGACTTCTTTGCTATTAAACTATGTTGACTGATACTTATATTTTTGCCTATGTCTAGATGTTGTATTATTTTATAATTTGATATGTATCAACTATTTTATTTATAATATACGTACTTCTTCATGCCTGTGTAATCTCTCTCTTATATATATATTCACCCTCTTTATGTTTTACTTACCTTATTATTATTATTTACACTCATTTATCTGCCTCAATGATATCTTTTGAAAATGATTGATCAAGTATATTTTCTGATTCTGTGCATTTGTATTCATACATGTTCTTTCAATTATCGGTACTTCCATTAATTTTGATTGCGTATTATACTTTTGATTAATCATGTGATGTTTTATTATGCTGCGTGTGAATTGCGTATTGTGTGAATTGTCTGTGTTAAGATTATATTTTATTTATACGCTATGATTAATACTTCTGTATATATATATTAACCTTTTGATGAACTAGTTTAATGATTAGTATTGGTTTTGTTTTGTCGTGGTTAAATTGTGTGTAGTGTATACTTTGTACTATTATATTTGACTACCTTTGTTATTTGTATGTTGAATCTACATCTTATATTTTGTATCATTATTGTTTTACATTCTCCTCTACTTATGGATTTCGTTCCATATATGTCCTTGGGTTTTTTTAATTCCGAGGACGGAAATTTTTTTAAGAGGGGTAGAATGTAATGATCATGAATTTTCGATACTAGTTAAAATAAATTTTTTTGGTATTTAAAATATTCAATTATTATTTTTAAAAGGGTATTTATATTTTCTAGAATTTTCTACAATTTAAAAATCTAATTTTATATTCATTTAAATGATTTTGATAATTATAAATTAACTTGATGCAGTGAAAACTTTTGAATTAATATTTGTTGTGTTATTGTTATTGTTACGTATTAATTGTAAATATTTTCCCTAATTATTCTATTTTCCTTAATTTAATTTCTTAATTATGTTTTAACCCTAACCCTAACCCTAATATATATATATATATATATATATATATATATATATATATATATATATTTGTTTTTTTTTCTCTCACGTAACCTTCACCTCCGCAGCCTCTTCCATCTCTCTCTCCTCTCGTCTCTCTCTCGTCTCTCTCTCGTTCTCTCGTTCTCAACGGCCATCTTCTTCTTCTCTCTCTTCGTTCTCTCTCCGCCCTCTCTGTTTCTCCCTCTCCCTCGCCGCCTTCATCCATTCATCATCCGACCGGCTGCTCGCCACAACAGCCAACCCTACCTACCACTCTCCTACGACCACCTCGACTGCAGCCGCAGCTAACCCTCCGCACGCGCTCCTCCTCCAGCCGCGCGCCCGTACCCAGATCCGCGGACGTCCGCACGGTCCCCAGCCCGTTCGCCACCTCCGCCCAACTCCAGCATCACTGCTTCTTCTATCTCCCACTACCAGATCCGACACCACAAACCCAAGGCAAGTCCCACTTCTTTGAAGTATTGTATCTATACGTGCGTGATATTTGTATCTATGTATGCGTGATCTCTCATCACATATAATAGTGTATATACCACACCACACATACGTTTTCACATTTTCACTATATATGACACATTCTTCTGTACACTTATCATATTGTGTGGCCTCTAACATAAAGTGCAGTTATGTTTATATGTGTGTAGCAATGGTTTAAGGTATAATTTAGTTTCATATCAATTATTATATTCATCGTAAATTAATCATGTGTAAGATCCCCATCTCGTTATTTTATTTCGTACAATTTTTTTAGATCTGTTAATAATTATTTGCGTGGGTTTGATGAATGATATTGAATGAATAGTAATTATGTGATAAATAGTATTTTTAGAACAAATATAATAAATTAAAGAATTTATTTTGGGTAACAGGATTATTTTAGAATAATTATAATATTTTAGAATTTATGTTATGGAAGGAAATTATTTTAGAATGATAAATATTTTAAAAAAAATTATTTTAGAAAAATAAATTATTTTGAATTAATGAGAATTTATCTTGTAAAAAGATTATTTTTGATTTATGAATTTATTATTTTTAAAGATTATTTTTTGAATAATTTTGGTGAGAGACAATTTGAAAGGAATTTATTTTGTAAAAGAATTATTTTCTTTGAATTAATTTATTTTATGAACGTGTGATGGATGGTTGTTGATCGCGATATTTTATGTGCAAAATATTCGTCGATTTCATGATTTTTATTTTAATTACGTGACATGTCATGATTTTTATTGCATAGAATTATCTGCATTTATTATTTCTTATTGTGTTTGAGAACCATTATTAGTTCATGACTTTGTGGCCTTACGCGTCATGAACAAGACTTAGTGACATGTGTGGGTGTGTTGACTAAATTAAGAGGTGAACCGAAACTCTATTATAGGTCATGTTTGTTGACTTAGAAAAACAAGAGATGTTGGGATGTGAAAGTCTTGGTTCGCATGATCGGATGTGATTGTGATTTATCTTCCAGACTCGCACCACTGACCTGTTTCGTCCTGGGGTTGGTTTGTTGGACCAAATGGTCTGTTTCGTTACTTTTGTCAGTGACCTGTTTTATCACCTGAGTTTTGCCTGAATTCGGACCAAGCCGAGATCAGATTGCGGGTAGTTCTCTAACCGCCTGTTTCACAGGATTGGATGCGCGTAGAGGATTTGTGAACAATTAGTTTTCCAGTAATGCGAACTTTAACCTATTTGAGATGTGGACCAGTGAGCTATTATAGGATGGTTAGTAGTATGACCCCATTCCTGGATGATTTAATTGATTATTATAATCTAGTGGTGATTTGCATCTAGTGGTTGGAATTACAGTTGCATACTTCTATTTTTATTATTACTATCATTGTATTGGTCATTCGACCGTTTCTCTTCTTCCTTGTGGGATCTTACCGTGTGCCATGCACGCTGACGTACACTTGTTTTCTCTGGTATATGTCATATTTAGAGGACGAACAGGTCCAATATGAAGATGCCTTGCAGCTGGAGTGTATTCCAGATGGAGTAGAAGAGCAAGTAGGAGCTTAGTCATTTCTTTTCTGTAGTTGCTGAGGGATATTAGATTACGTATGTAGTATTTTCTCTTTTAGTATTTGAGAGATTTAGTTCTTTTTATTGTACTTCCTTTTATTCTATTGGACTATGTATTTTTAGATTTTTAGTTGGACTGTTTTGTAATAATGACATGTTTGACCCAAACCTTGTCTCGGATGATATTCCATTTATGATATGACTCTTTTCTATTCTGAGTTATTTATTATATTCTTGCTAATTGTGATCAGGGGACCTGTGACTTCGTATTTTATATTGCTTGACGCTTAGCGTATTAGGTTGAGAAAAAATGGTCTTTTATTTATTCACCTTAATCTAATATGTCGCGGGTTTGTTCACGTTCCGATTCCTCGGTATTTTGGGAAGCGGGGCGTGACAGATCTCAAGCCCCTCAAATCCTATTAGCATGTTGAAATAAGCCCCCTATTTAAAATCCGGTTAGGAGGGAATATTTTGTTTAATTTTTTTGGTAATTTGCCAGTTATTTGCTAGTTACACTCCTCTAACACAAACCCAAATCCATTAATCACTTTAACTTATGCATGTCAAGTTCTCCAAATCTGTTTAATATAACCCCAATTCAAATCAATTTTCCACTTCCCAAGGGGAATTTGTCTGTTGCAAAGTCGGGATCATGGTTGAAGAGAGTTGTTTGGGAAGGTGTTGGAGAAGTGAAGTCGAAATTGTTGTGGATTTAGGGTTTTATTAAACGATTTGGACAACTTATGTGTATAACTTAAAGTGGTTAATGAGTTTGAGTTTCTGCGAGAGGGGTCTAGCTGATAGATCACAGAAAAAGTTAAAGTAAATAGAATATCCTCCCCATTTCAACTAGATTTTAGCTAGGGAACTTATTTCAATATGCTAATAGAATTTTGAGGGCTTAAGATCAATCTCAAAGATTTGGGGGGCTAATATAGACATATTGAAGATTTTTCGTGTGTGTGCATTTTTTGGGGTTGTTTTTTTTTGTTTTTTTTGGGGGGGAGGGGTAGGGGTGCGGGGTTGCGGGGTTGAGAGCAAATTCAAAAATTTGGGGGCCTCATATCGAAATATCAAATTTGCGGGGGGCTAACATCGAAATAACCCAAAAAGGCCAAGAAAATGAAGAGAGACTAGATACTTGGAAGCCCACCCCATTCCTCCTACTCCAAGGCTGAAGCGGCAGCACCACAAGGACTCCCCACAAAGGTGGGCCCACGCAATACCCATTCCCGCGTGGGCCCACGCAGCACTCATTTCCGCGTGGGCCCCACAAACACGGAGCCCACCACGACAATAATTGCCCATGGGCCCCACCTTCTTCCCGATTCTCTCCCCTACGCGCGAACCCCAAAGCAAGAAATAAAAGGGAAAAATTAATTAATAAAAGAAAAAAAGCGCAGCAAGGACGACAAACTCTGTCAGCGAAAAGTTCGCAACTTTTGGGCCTATTTCACTTTTATCTTTCAGCGTCCCTCTCCGCCCACTCGGTCTCCTCTTCTTCCCTCGGCTGAGGCTGGATTCTGAGACCGCGGAGGCGACGATTTTTGGAGGTTTGTTGGATAGTTAATCGATAAATTCGGTAAAAACGGGATCTTTTGTAGGGCCAGATCCGGCGCGCTCACTGGAGATCGTCAGAGGAAGGAGGCCCCGCGATGTCTGGTTGGGTCGTACGGAGGGTGCTTGACGGAATGTCGCTGAGAAAGCCCGTGCATTTGGCGCCGGCGCGCGGTTTCTGCATCGGACCGCCGCAGTGGATCGGGTCTCCGAGAACATTGCTCGGTCAAAACGTCGCAATCCAACATTGACCGAACGGAGCGTCAGTCGCGTGTTTGCAGTGAGGTTTGGGTTCCCTCCATCCTCATCGATTTCCTTGCGCCGGATTCATTCGATCGGTCCCATTTGTTAGATACTTTGAAGAGCTCACCTCACTCTTACGAACTTGTTGCTAGCGGTAGGATGATCCTCAATGCCAATAACCACCGTTTAAGCCGCTCCGCTCGCAATCAAAAAGATGGAAGTTTTGACAAGAGCTTGTTCTAATAAACTGATGCTTTACACACTGGGACTAACAGGCCGTACTCGGACGGGAGGTGCGTTTGAATCTCCTTCTAGAATTCGTGCCATTCATAGGACTGATGGGTTTTTTCTTTGTGTATAATATTGCTTATGGTTGATTCATTTATTACAATAATTAAGCTAATTGGGTACACGCTTTACTGATTCTTGGTTGGTTGTTGACCGTTGAAGTGGAAGATATTTTTGGAAGCCCTATCGCGGGTTCGGCTTGGGTATGCTTCATGCCTACGAATTCATATTTATTTTGGGTAAAAACTTGATTATGATATTTGACGGTGATTTATGAGTGATGACTTCTGCACCAATGCTGACCTAGTGACCCTTGAGATACCTTGTTCGACTTTTCTTGTGTTTTTTTAGCCGGCTAATCGGTAGAGTATCAGTTTTAGAATCTTCCGCATGTTGCTTTTTAATAATAATTATATAAGATAGTTCTTATAGAGTTGTTTCTTCCCGGCAACACTTTTAAATAATTGCAACAGAGCCTGTCTTTTCATTCTATATTTTAGAAGACAGAATAAAGTTTTCGGGAGGCCTGTCTATTATTTTTTCCTTTCTTTTAAGTTGTGCCAAAAAATATGTCGAGAAATTCGTATCAAAATATTGAGATTATCGGCAGCGCGTTGCCGGTTCGACGTCTGTTCACAATCCCGGTCCACACCGAACCACTGATTTTCAGAAATTATGCATGGAGATGTGAAGAGACAGGGAAAATTTGATCTGATGGGAGAGAATAAAACCTTTGAATTTGCTTTCTATTGCAAATTCAATATGTCATCCTTTTTGGTTACTTTTTCTTTTCTTTTTGGCAAGTGGTTGTAGCATGGTCTGGAGCCTGAGATCTTTTCTCATAGCCCACCACCTCTTTACATTGAGCCTGGCTTTTCTGCTATAGGCAAATCCCTGTTTGCACTTCCTAAATTGTACATTAGTTGAAGGAAATAATGAGTGCAGCCAATGTTCTTTAAAGAGGAAAAAGTAGATGAGAAAGGCAAGTAAAAACTGGTGAGCATGGAGATTGATAATATTTCACCCTTATGAATCTAGTCATTTGGGAAGCCTTATTGGAAATTTTGAGTATTACTTCCTTCATTCAGACTATCCAGGATCTTTCAGATTTGCAACATTCTTCTTATTGAAATTCTAGAACATCCCTCTTTAGTTTCCTCTTTTTCTCCCCTTCTCTTCTATATAACTAAAAAGTATAACGTCTTTCATCTTGTCTTACTGCTTTTCGTTACTTCCTGATATTTCTTTTCATCTTAAAGTCTTTGTTTTAGGCTTCTTCGTCGAGTCTTTTGTCTTTCTTTATGTTTTTAGTCTGTTTGACTTTATTTCTCTTGCGTTTCATTTGGCTTTAATCTTTCCTTTTGTTCTGCAGGCAAACATCCATTTACTGCTGTTAATTACTATATCATTGAGTTGTTTATTGCTAAAGGAAAGTTAACTTTAGCAATTGGACCTTTGTGATCTTTATTTTAATTAGTGTATGTGTCATCAACTTGTATAACCTTGTTCTGTACTTTTTTGCTCAACTTTGGGTCCTTTTGGTTACCTGTGACTAGAACTCCATGATTTTTAACCACAAAATTTGAGGCAAATATCATTAGTTCTTTTGTTGCATATGTCGATTTGTATTTCAGGTATATTGTGATTCAAAGTTTTCTATTGAGTTGGCGTACGTTGTAACTAGTAAGGTTTCAATCTCATGAGTTTATATGAGTTAACGTGCTTCGTGTTAATTGATAACAAAATAAAAATTCAATGAATCAACGCTATCAAACATTACAATGTCAATTGACAGTATAACATGAATGGGATTTACAACTCCAGGCCTGTTTGGTTTTGCTTGCGCTAGCTGAAGCTGCATAAGCTAAGGCCCATTTTTGGGGTAATTACTGGAGCCTGGAGGTGTACAATCTGGCTACCTTTGCAAATGAAGTTGTTGGTATTATTTGATAATGCTATATTGTGCTGTTACCTCAATATGTAGTGAGGATTCCGATGCAAAATTGCTTATCCAAATACGCTACACCAGAAGCCTATTCTTCATTTACTGTAGTTTTACTTGTAGCGCAGTTTGTTCAAACCAAAGATATACATGTACTCCTAATTATAGCTATAGCTGCATTGTAATCATGTCCCAATTGGGTAATTATCATCATCTTGCCTACTTTTAGGAAATGATGATCTCCTTCTCAATTGCGTTATTATTCTATAATCTCCCTGTCATTTGGTCATTATTGTGCTCTACTAATTTTTGTCTTTGTTTTTTGATTCATGACACGCGATAAACGTTTCCCGCTCCCTGTCAGGTTACCTTTCACACGTCTGTCGATTTTAAGATACCAGTATTGAATGATTCCAGCTATTTACGAACTCAAAAATTGCAGTCCTTAATTAAATTGTGTATGAACCTGATTGATTAATTGAATTACTGGTTGAATGAGGCGAGTCAAGTCGTTTTTTTTTCTATCTCACCGGGAGGAGAGATACTCGGTATCTAATTTGTGGCCCACGGTTAGGCAATTCTAGCCCTCTGAGTAAGACCCGGAGCTTTCTTACTACAAATGATTCGAAAGTTATAAAGCTTACACTGGGATTGCTTCCCTGTAGTTGACTGATAATTTGGCGACAAGTCAAGATTCCCCTATGTGAAGTGGGTGGAAGAAACTTGGGGTCACCTGGTAGGTCATATACTGGTCATCAAATCACCAAAATTATGTACCACCATCAAATTGTAATATTTGATATTGCATACAGGTCTTAGTTCTAGCAATTTTGTCAATTAAAGGTCTGTTGATTAAAGTGAACTGTAAAGTAAATATCACATACTTATTTTGGAAATATTACCATTGTCTAAATATTTACAGATCAATGTTGGTTAAGCAGTATGATGAAAATGAGAAAGAATCCATGGGAGGAAGAATTTTTTTTTACAATCTTAACATCAGTCTTTTGAATTAGTGCCAAATTCCTAGCCGAGAAAACTATGACACAGAGTTAAGGATTAGATTAAACCTACATACGGCTGCAGCTTGTAGAAGAGTCAACCTCTGGGTCATGTTATAAAGGGCAGTTCACCAAGGTTTTCATACCCTAAGAAGACTCTGAATGGCAAGCAACATGGAGACATGAACTAGCCAGGAGTTTTATTCATCTATCAGTGGTAATGGGATCCACATGTCATTGAAAACTTCTGAAACATGTATCTGTATAAATTTATGTTTACACATGCAAGATATGTATGTGCTCCTTAGTCAAGTTTTTAGAATGGCTTATATGTCATGCACTTTCTCCAGAGTGACACTCATATTATATGTTTGAGAAATATTAGGGTGAGGGTAATATATCTGCTTATATGTCATTCACTTTCTCCAGAGTGGCACTCATATTATATATTTGAGAAATATTAGGGTGATGGTAAAATATCCTACCTCCAACGGAAAAGATACATTAGGAGGGTATTAGATTCTACCTCCAACAGAAAAGAGGCAGAACGCATAATAGTGCTCCATGGCTTGTCACCCTCTCCTCATGGATGGCATACGTGCACGACATCTATAGGGCAGTAGGTATCTTTATAGTTGAGTCCTTTCTTCCCTTTCCTTGAAATGCCTTGTATGGCTATAATGAAGCAAGTGTATCCTCACAGAAAGGTGATTCTTTGAACTTCTTTTCTTCTGATATGGAAGACAAAAACACAACTCGCCCTTACAGCAAGCAAGTCTTAGACTTAAAGAATTTCCATGTTTGAGATGGCATACTTGCATGTGTATTCGACACAAGTTAATCTGTCAATTCTATCCTGGCTTCTTGTGGCCATTTGAAGATCTAAAGACGTTTGTTTCTGGAAGATATTTATCTTCTGGATATAGTAAACGTTTATCAATAGTGAGTGGTACCATGTTCAAGTGCTTGAAGCTGTACAGATTTATGAACTGCTTTTAAGATAATTAAGCAATTTGGATGTTCAACTTAGTTTTCATGCACTCGATAACCTACTGACAGTTAGAAAAACCTCCGATATTGTTTTACTTACTAATGAAGGGATAAATAGGAAGGATTAGGCCACTTGTATTTTTGGCAAGTTCAATAAATTCTAGATTATCACAACTACTCTTTACGTCAGACTCAGGATGGATCCTACAAGATCAACATTCCAATCCACTTACACTTGTAAGATTCTTTGAGGATCATCACGCATTTAAGGATCTAAAATTTACTCCTCTTTCTTGTTTACCACATTCTCTACTTTAATCAATGTCAAGCATGTTTATATATGACCAGTTAAGTTTCTCCAAATCATAGGAAGCCGAAAGTAGTGATTTAACAAAAACTAAGCAAAGTTTTCTACATAAAAATTTATCAAGTTATTGAGCTATGATCTCTAAATATCCATATCTAGATTCATAAGGAAGAGGATCCATTACTAAGATTCATATCTAGATCCAATAAGCTAGTAACACTTTATAAGGCGTTCTCATCATATAGATGCTATCAAACTACATTGTATTCCTATCTTGTTTTGACATCCAAAAGGACCCTTACACAGTGCTTATAAGAAATTTGTGGAGCTTGCAAGAAAGTAGAACCCCTTTGATGATATTCTAAATGAACCATAGAATAATTATAGACATGTTAAGAATTTTTAACTTAGATATTGGATACATTGCGATGAAAATAACAGAACAAAACATTGTCTTCTGCTATTCCATGAAGTTTAAATCACAGATTCACATATATACTTTGTCTGTTTCTGTTTCTAAATAAAGCAAGTACTTGATACTGAGGCGTAAAAAAGTCATGAGTTGTTTATGTCGTCACTTGCATGTAATTTGGGACTAGGAAGTTATTACCATAACCCTTCTGATAGTGCATTTTCATAATTGATGGTGTTTTGAGCACAAACATAGTGACTTCATTTCATCCTTCTCCTCTCCTATTTTATTACAGAGGGTGTTCCATGAATACGCTAATTGGGTATTTAGAGCACACATCAAATATAAACGTGATGCTAATGCTGTTGATGACTTGATGAAGCCATAAAACAGCAGCTTTGGAAACAAGCAAATTTCCCTTGTTTTTGACTAAGGAGAGATATTCTATATATGCAGTACAATAATATTTATATGGACATGTTTTATATCAAAGCTCATAATTTATTGCTGATAACTTACCTGGCTGGTCTTTATTATTCAGGACTAGGCAAGTTGATAGTTCTCTGATGTATCTGTTGCTGCTGACCACTAGACCATAATTGACCCTACACATGAAACTACAAGTACAGAAGAAGCTTCTCTTATGTGACATAGTCGTAATTAATTTCTTTCAAGAATTTTTTTTGGCATTAATGAGGGATGTGTTTTCCTTTTGAAGGAATAAAATGATGGAAGCAAGGATTTTTTGCAAGCTGGCAATGCTGGAGGAAACTGATCAATGTGGTTCAGTTCTCTTTTTTCTGAATGTTTGGTTGGTGAGAGGAGGGTGTAAAGATGCCATAGTGTTTTTAGCTTTCCAACTCTTTTTGTTAATTTTCCTTCCTTTTTATGTCCATGCCTTTATTCCTTACAGTAGGAATAGCACGGCTGTTAAGGATCCTTTCAAGAGCATGCTTAAACAAGGCAATATATTGTATTAATATGTCCTAATGTTTCTGTTAAATCATTCATGAGCAGAGTGTCTGTTATTATGAGTTAGATATCGTCTTTGAACACTATTCAGATTCACCATGCTTGACAAGGGGAAAAAAAAGGAAAGAAGAGGAAAAAGAGCGCAGTATTCTAATCTGGCTGGAGACTGGAGGAAGTGAATATGTGACTGTGAAAGTGAAGCATTTTCATGAATTTAGATGTATCTTCGATGAAATAACATCTGAAAGCATGCTAGTGACTTTTTCCATGTAAAAAAATTACAATCGAAAGGATTGAACTGGGGGCTGAATCGAAAACAGCGAAAGAAAATATTTATGAAGGAGTTGTTAATGTTTTTTTTGTGGTAAGAGTAAAATAATAAGTGTTATATCATTTTTATTCCTGAATCTCACTCTTTATCTTTCATGCTAATAAATGTTTTGTACACTGTGTTGCTGAATTGGATGTACTCTTTACTTCAAAAGAACCACTTTCATACATTTGGTCCCCTCTTAAAATTGACTGTTACTTAGCTAAATATCCCCTGCATTTTTCCTACAACAACAAGGAGAGAGGTGTGTTTTTCTATTACTGTTCCACGGACTGTTGTTTTGTGGCCTGAAATTCTTTGTTTGTATCTGAAATTTGGAGCATTGAGAGCATATGCTTCAGAAAAGGGACCCATACCAGAGGTCCCAAATTTAACTGAGTGGTCATCATGGATTTCCTCTAGGATAATGTAGAGACCAAAACCCTCCAATATCATGCCCATTCAAAAATTCAACACTCTCATCCTCACATTATTCTCCTTTCTCCTTCCCTCTCCAGGTAGCAGAGAATGGAGCTGTGCATGAACAGCAGCAGCAGGATGACAAGCTTCTCTCCCTCTGCTCACCCAATGAGGTCCAGGCCAGGCCCCGCCAAGTTCAGCGACGGCGAGGCTATGGGCAAGAAGCTACATTGTTTCGCTGCGACTACAAAGAAGAAGAAGTACCAGCAATTGGCTGTTAAGACGTCTCTTACCACTGCTGATATTGGAGCAGAGGTCAAGGTGCCCTTTCCCCCCTAATTTTCCCTTTGTTTACTTGTATTGCACTATTTGATATGTAATATTGCATTTTATGAGCTAATTCCCTACTTATGTTTGTTAGTGCAGCTTAGAGATTTGGAAATGGAGAGGAAGGACCCTCGGACGGTTGCTGCTATTATTTTGGGTGGTGGAGCAGGAACCCGTCTCTTCCCTCTTACTAAGCGGAGAGCCAAACCAGCTGTAAGTACAACCCTTTAAAGGCATCTTTCAGTTCTTACAAGGGATTAATTTATGAGGTAACATTACGTAGCTTTAAGGTCTTAAAGCGCATCCTGTAAACTCATCAGATGTGTTACCTCAACTTATCTTATTTACTAAAAGGAAGGACAAGGAGGAAACTATTCTATGCTGCTCGACTTAGGTTATATTTGTTCTCCACAAGATATTTTTTCTAAATTTTTATTTTCTTTGAGCGACTGGGACTTGCAAGTGCAATTATGCTTCTTGGATTGACTCAAATAATGCGACAAAGGTTTAACTTATATTTCGTTAACATGTGCAAGTATGCAAATGTTGTCTGATCATCAATAGATCACCTAATATTCTAATGCTTAGTTGGACTACTAGCTTGTGCTTGGTAATTCTTTAGGAGTTCTCTGAAGTATTACTTGTTTCATAAGCATTTCCTTGATCCAACTCAAGATGGATACTCTGGCAGTTAATTGATAATATTGAAATCTTGTAACCCATATTTATAAAATCTTTGATGGGTTTTTCTTGAAATTTTTTCCTCTCAAGTTGGCAAAATTTACTGCCATTTCTGTACACCTTCTTTAGTTCTTGTGCCTGTAAGAATTGATGCAAGATTCTATTATATCATTATTATTAATCAAAGAATGGGATAAGGTATGCCAATGGTGCTAAGTTCTAAGTTGCATTTTCCTCAGCTGTCTTGCCTATCATGTATATTTTGGACCAAAACTCACAAAACAAAGCTAATCTTATGATGGCTCTGTTATCTCCATGTTTTATAAACTAGATGAGAATTTCCATAATTGCGTGTAACTTATTTGAAATATAATTGACAAAGTCTACTGACATATATGAGCATATACTCTGCTCATTTTCGACAGGTTCCTATAGGAGGTGCTTATCGATTGATCGATGTACCAATGAGCAACTGTATAAACAGCGGAATCAATAAAGTATATATTCTTACACAGTTTAATTCTGCATCGTTAAATAGACATATTGCACGGGCTTACAATTTCAGTAATGGAATGAGCTTTGGAGATGGCTTTGTTGAGGTACATTCTACTTTAATTTGGGGTTTTCTATTTAACTAATTTTTGTGGATGGAATTGAGTTTAATAATTATACAAGGTGTAGTGTAGCATTTTCACTCGCTGATTTTACTATCATAACAGTTAATGTTAAATTCTTTTTTGTTCTTTTTACTCTTTTTGTGATAGTATGATTTTTATCACATTTTCCATCCTCCATGTAGATAATAATGCAATGCTTTCCACTTTAAATTTATTGCGGAGGCTTTTCTATTATTAATATGGAAGCCTAATAACTTATAGAGAAAATCACTTGGGTTATATAGATTAATCTTCTGTACGTGAAAGGGTTCTAACTTGGAGTCAGTGTATATGTCACTTGAAACGTAATAAATAAAGAAAGAAAGGTGCCCATCTACCTTTTCCAGGCCACAATCTCCAAACATACAAACAACAATACCACAAAACTATAGTTGCTGTCTTCAAAATTGATTCTTATTCACATCAAAAGGTCTCTATTACGTGTATAGTTTTGAAGAGATCAGAAAAATATTTTAAATTAGGGTAACTTACACTAAACACCCAAGAATTTTCAGTATTTTTCAGTAAACTTCTAATGACTTCTAAAATCGAACTAAACTCCCAAAAACTAATGCAATTGCAGAAAATCCCCAATTGGTTTCCGCATTTTGCAGATAACCCTCATGATGGCATTAGTCCACATTTTGCATTTACGTGTGGAACACAGAACTTATTTAGGGTTTTCTGCAATTTCAATAGTTATTGGAGATTTACTGCTATTTTAGAACCTAATGGGGGTCTGCTGAAAAACAATGAAAGTTCTTGCGGGTTTAGTGTAATTTACCCTTTAAATTAGTCATACATACTGTTACAATACTAACCTTTTTATGGATTGCAATTGCAATTCAAGTTCAGTTGCATGTGATATCCATTTAATCGCGCTACGTCCTAAAAATGAATAATTCCATATAATCACTAAATTGCCCATCTAGCTGTTTAAGTTTTTTCCTTTGGAAAATATAAAATCATTGTTTGCTCAGGAAGCTATGCTTAGGTTAATTTACTTTCACAGCATTTGAATATTTGGATCATTATAACACAAGGTTTAAATCATTACAGAATCATATCTTAAGAAAATAAAACAGTTTCCCTATATCCACATTAGACATGCCTAGAAATTCGTTTGACATAAAAAGAGGTAAATTACACTCACAAATATTCCTTATTGCACTTATCTTACAAGTCACCAAGATAGCAATGCGCTTCAATAGTTGATATGTGTACTAACGATATATGCTGCTAATGCTAATTTTATTGGTAATGTTTCATTTGTAGCTGTTTGTTCAACATGTGAAGTAGCATGATGGCATCATGGTTTCATCTGTACCACAGTGTAAAACGAGAATATGAAAGAGAGTTATGTAAATCAGGATTCAACATTTATTTAAGGATCGACACATCTATATTTACATGTCCGCTCCTTTCTTTGATGCCTTCAACGCCTTACTGGTTTATGGAATTTACGGTTCCATGAACGATATGGCGCTGACTTCACTTGTTCACCCTAGATTTAGTTGCATTATCACCTTCCTTAATTCATTTCTTTGCTCAACTTGCAGCCTTCTTAACCAAATTCACACTCTTGCTTGCGATCTTCTACTCTGGCAATATGATGCATTCCTCACCTTACTCTACTTTATAATGATAGCCTTTTTATTCAATCTCTTATTGTTTTGAGGCACTTAAGCATTCACATTGACTACTGCTTTATACTGAATACGGATAT